CACACACACACACACACACACACACACACACACACACACACACACACATATATATATATATATATACACATACACACACACACACATACACACACACACACATATATATATGCTATAAAGAGTTGCTCAATTAATTAAAACATTATTTTTCTCATGCAGAAATATATGAAATAATTCATGTTTCTCATTGCTATATTAAATTTTATAACTGATTTCATTTAAAAAAAATTCTTCAGTAGCAATTAATTGGTCTACGTCTATGTTTTCATTTGATCTTTGACCCAAAGCATTAACACAGATGACATGTTAACGATGAAATCTCAGTGCTAGGATGGTATCATCGACAGCATAAGACAACTGTTCTTTTATTTTTGGGATCTTGTTGTTAGCTGTCGGAAGGATTAACTGTATCCTTGTAGTACGAAATACCTTTCAGGATTATGTTCAGTGTTCCCTGTAGTGATAGCAGTGACCTGAGACAACTGCTGACAATAGAATGTATTTTATTCTTCACTTAACATATTCATCTTAATTCAGTCCTGTGATCAAAGCACTTGAGTATGCACTCAAATCCTATTGAAGAAATGAATCTATAATATGTCGGAATACTGCCATATGAGGGTTATTTGAAATTGTTGTTACAATAATAATTGCGTAAGAGGACAATGTACCCCATGTGTTCAGTTGCTAGATACCAACAGAGTTCTGGGCCATAATGCTATTCAGTCTTTCTGGATGTTGAGTAACTGTGTGTTTTCATGCTCATACTTCCATAAAATAAATACAACAGAAGAACAACCCATCCTACGCCCCATTGATGTACCCCTATGTACCCCCTAATTCTTATGCAGTGCCTACATTCACACAAATAAAAATAATTGTATCAAGAATACAGTTTGCAACAGTGAAGTAATTTTAATTTTTATGTTTTTTGTGTTTTTTATGGTTTCCTGAAGGAGGCAGTCAAGGTTTGGCATTTTTGTTTTGTTTTATTTTTTTATAATTTCTCTTAACTTTTTCTCTATCTGGTAGTGAAAGACGCATTTCGATCTCCTCTCATTTTTCCCCAGCATTTGTCTGTCTTCAGAATTTCCGGTGCAAATTATTCTTTACTCTTTTATAATATCCTCAAATAGGGCTTTTTCATATCCATCCAGTCTCAGTCCAATGCACTTTTAAAAAATAATCTCTAAATCTTTCACCTATTTCATTCTTTTCATTTCTGATTCTTTTCCACACATTTTCTCTGTATGTATGACTAAACTGAAATTACAAATTATTAATTTTAATTAATGGAACTGAAATTACCTTTTTTGTTAAGATCAATTTCATATAGAGAGGAGAATCCCTTAATTGCACATTTAAACTCAGAACAACTTAGCGCCAACCCTTTGCCCCATATAAGACATGCTGTCAGTTCAAATATGGCCTCTTTGCAATGCCCAGAAAGGGACATTCAGGTTTAAAACCGATTACAAAATGAAAACTCCTTTCATATGATAGTTGATAACTTCATGAATATGTCCATGTAGTTGTCTTGGCAACAGTAACTAAAGGGTTTGCCTTTGTCTTCTGGAATGTTTTCTTTAATCTCATGATCTAGCTCTAAATCCAGAAGTTTCCTTGTTACCCATCCAAACACTAATCAGTCCTGATCCTGCTTAGCTTCCAAACCTAGACTAGATCAGCCATATGCTATCACCTGCTAAGACTTACAATGTATATGAATAATACAAAGCAGCATATTGTAAATCTGAAGTCCTTTGCTGCTATAGAAAATGGGTACAAGGCTGTGACACTACCCAAATTAATATGTCTATTGGTCAAATAACATCTTCAATCTAGCAGCATCTTCACCATTAAGGTAAAGAGAGCACATAGTCTTAAACTACAATATTTTCAGACAGCTAGTGACAAAGGAAGACTTTTAAATGAAGTTATAGCAGAACTTTATTCAGATTTGTTATAGTAATTTGAAGTGCTAGGTCTCATGGTTCCCTGTATGTATGACTTATTTACAGGATCACCCAAGAGCTGAGTATGAAGCAAAAGTATTAGAAAAATCTCTCAAGAAAGAATACAGAAACAAAGAGGTAAGATAACAAATTAGTTTTGTTTTAAAATTTTATGTAATAAAAATTAAGTACACTTGTTTTAAAAATCATAGCATAGGGTCTTCACATTTATATTATTCATTGTAAGTCATTATTATTCTAATACTGTTACTGAATATAAAGAAATGAAATATCAACAGTGCTATGGAATAATACAAAGTACTCAGACATTTGTTCAAAATCAATGCAATTGTGAAAATACCAGGGACTAATTTTTTTAAAAAAAAATTCACAATTATGCTGACTTTGAATAAATGACTGAGTGACTAATCTGTGTTACTCTAATTTTAGAGTCATAATTTAGATTTTTACTGTCAGAATGTAAAAACATTTAGAATTATCCACTGTAAAGAGCCCATCACTTATGATACTTGTGAAAGTTCTGGAGCAGCAGCCCAATGCTTACAGTGGGTATCTTCTTTGAACGAGGTGATCACATAACTTGTAGTTATTAAACTGAATTCCTTTTTATGGCACAGTAGCACAAAACACCTGGCAATTATTATTTTGAACCATGTTTCTAAAGTACTGAGCATAATCACATCTTGAAACAAGAGATAATGTTTCATCAGACCGAAACCATTATAGTCCGATATTTGTTCTTTTAGTAGTTTAACAGGTGACTGCAGCAATCTTCTTCTGTCTGGCCCTTCTCCATATGAATGGACTTCAACTCCCAGATTTGTCAGGAATGGCAAGACTAGCTAAGGAATTCTGGAAACTGAAGTTCAGATCTCTCCATCTGGATATCTTCAGTTTTCAAAAAGCTAACTTAGAGGAAGCCTTCTATTCAGAACCATATTGACTCTGATGAGGATCATGTGAATTTATCGTTTTCAGTTTTTCAGGCACTAGTTTGTTGGTTCCCATCCCTATGTCAGTTTAGGTTTAGGTTTAGGTTTAG